CACTTATTTGGCGCGCTATATTCAGAATGAGTTAAACAAAAAAGAAGAGTTTCGAACGAAAATCGCCACCAAGGAAATGAAAGTTCAATCAATTAAGGGCTCCATGACTTCCTATTTTCGCAAGCAATTACTCCAATATAAAGAAAAAGGAAAATGACAACTCTCCCCTTTTTACTATAAGGAACAATTAAGAAGCCTAACCCCGTATCACCATGCGATTGATGCCATAGTTTTGGCTCATTTTAAATCGCGGGCTTACATTCAATTATTAGGGGACTTGACGAAAATTAGCCAGGGGCAAATTAAAATTGAAAAGAGGAAAAATTACCTCCGAACAATTAAATTCTCTTTTTCAGGAAATCATTAAAAAGTGACGAAAACCTGAATGAGAATTAAAAAAGCAAGAGTTATTTGAGGAATCTGAAAGTGCTCTTAATTTTTTGGAGGATGCCACCAAAGAAGTTGACATCTCGTCCTTTTTTCCTCTTCCTAGCCTCCATGACATTATTGAAAGGAGAATTCCGATTCAATTAAAAAAAAACGAAAAAAGCCAACTTGAAATCCCGAAGAAAATGAAAAAGTTGAAGAAGTAGTTATTGCGGTTGAAAAAGTTCTAACTGAGGACGAATACAAAGAAAAAGTTAAAGGTATGCAGGGAAACATTGATTATCCCTATATCTCTTATGCTGTGGACCGGAAAGTGAAAAAGGAGACCGTGGCTTCGGAGCAAGCAGGCAGAAGTAAGCGAGGAGTAGTAATGTTTGCGGATATCTGCGAAAAATTACGAAGTAAAGAAAAATTAGACCTGCCAAAGAAAATTAGTTTGAGTAGTTTGGCAAAAAAAATAGGACTAGAAAAACTTAACTCTGAATACGGAGAAAAATACAACTTTATGATTGTTAAAAAAGGAGAAAATAATTATACTATTTGGGATACCTCTAAGTATGATGCTGGTTTTGGAGTTAAGAAAGATGGAAAGGCAGAAAGAATAAAAAATATTCAATTGCTTTATAAAAAGAGAAGCGGCGATAAAAAATGGTTGACTAAAAATTACCGATTGTCAGTAAGGCCGCGAGAAGTTTTTACTTTTGAGAATTCTGAAAAAGTGGATGGTGAATTAACCAAGTTAATTGGACTTCCTTTAATTTACACCGGGACAACAAATAATAATGTTTCCTCTATAAACACAGTAGGCCTTGTTTATGATAAAAAAGAAAACTCCCAAACTATTTATCCGGAACACGGCAACAAAATAATCAAAATCAGCAATGCTATTAATAACATTAACGAATTAGGAGCAGGAGCAAAGTCAATTAACAAAGTTGGGGCTTCTCTCAAACTATTAAAAATTAATATTTTAGGTAAAAAAACAAAGTAAATTTTAAAATGCTATAAAATTATAATATGACAGAGAATCTAAGATAAGGCTTTATGCCGAGAGGTCAGGCATCCTCTAATCTGCCTAGTTATAAGTTTTGGGACAAATTGATGAAATCCCCCCAAGTTAATACTTGGCTAAAAAAACTTTTACTAAAATCTGTTTTCAGTAAAAAAAGATTTCTGATTTTGGTGAAAAAAACATTTTCATCTCATAAATTTTTCTAGTGAAAGTTGTTTATTATTCCAGTTTCGGAGTTCTTTTTTGGCGGACAGGGTTTTAGTTCTCTGTCAATTAAGAGAAGAATAAAACAGTCCCTTAATTATTAATTGTCAATCGTGAGTTTTAGTTCTCTGTCAATTAAGAGAAGAATAAAACTTAAAATTATGGACGGAACGCCCAACTTTAGTTTTAGTTCTCTGTCAATTTTTCTTAACTTTTTCTAACATCATTCAAAATGAATTGAAAAACAATAATAGTAAGGAATAACGATGAACTAAGACTTAACAATAATCAGTTGACTTTAATCAATAAAAAAGAGAAGACTGAATTGTGCTTTTCGTTTGCTGATGTTAACTGTCTAATCCTTGAAAATAATCATTCTTTCATAACTAGCCACTTACTCAGCAAATTGGCTGAAAGTAATATTTCCCTCATTACTACCAACGAAAAATATGAACCAACCGGATTACTTATCAGTTTAAATCAGCATTTTTCCCCTTTGAGCGTTTTTCGAAAGCAGTTGAAAATGACTCAGCGATTCAAAGATTCTTTATGAAAAAAGGTTATTCAAAAAAAGATTGAAAATAGTTGCTTAATTTTAGCACAGTGCCGGACCAGCAAAAATTTAAAGTGAATCAAAAGTCAGTGGAAAGAGGTAGAGAGTGGTGACAAGACGAATCGGGAAGGAGCCGTTGCCAAATATTTTTTTCGAAAATTATAC